TTCAATACATACTGATCAAGGTCTGGTTCAACAAGTTAAACCTGTGTTCTGTGTTAAAACTGTGTTGAAAGATTGTGAAGACATTCAACTGTAATAAACCGTAGCCGAATGTGCCACTTCACAACAACATTACAAATGAAAGGATAATATTTATTGTACATTTATTTAAACAACCAGTACCACATTGACATCAAAGTAGACATTTCAAAGTGTTTTTCATGCTTTGAACACTTTATTGTGATAGCATTAATGGACTCTAAAAGGTTGAGCGAAGAACAGTATGAAAAGGAATCAAACTCTGAGTGGAACAACAAGACATTTTAACATCAGGATAGGAGAACATAAAGTCAACTTGCTACATACCTAGCTGTGTTTATCAATATTCGCTATATGGTGATATGACTGTGTTACAGTGACAAAAATAATGCTTACAAAAATTGATACTAACTGGGAGAATATAAAGGACATATGACACTCGGTAATTTTCTGTATAATAGAAACTATTATGTGTAATAATAGAGGCATAAAACGGGACTAGTGTGGCATATATGAGCAGTTTGAGTTGATAACTGTTATACCTAGCATATACTGTAGTATATGTACACAGGTACTAATGAATTCTGGATTGACTCCAAGTATTTGATATGGTAACACAATCTCAATTAAACTCTACTCATGTGGCCTCAATCGTAGCTGAAAGTGAATACAACTGTTTTGTTAATTGTCAGACATGAACTTACATGGAGAATAATCATTTCGTAAATATAGACACTCACTGTTATAACCATGGCAACAGATATATGAAAATATGGATTATTATATTGTATTGTTTTATGTATACGCATGTGAATAGAAGGAACATGAAAACAGAGGGACTCAGATAAGTGATATCTAATATACATGTAGGACCTTACTTTGAACAAATAACAGTTCATATATTGGCAAATTTAAGATTGTCGTCAGCTCACATTAATGGCAAATCTGGGACTACTGTATGCTGTTTAGTTGATATAAACACAGGAAATGAAAGGATTATTGGCTTCTCTAATTAAACCTAGAAACGTGTTATGTAATACTAAAGGATGTTAATTGTGATAAGTTAATCTAAAAGTCATTGATTAATTTTTATTACATATCGCAATAATAATCTGCAACCATCAGATATGGGACTATACAGCTCTCGTGGTAGATGATAGAGGACTATTGTCGTTGGCACATTAACTCATCGAGTTCACCATGGAATCGCAAACAATGTCAGATTTAACCAAAACAAACAATGTCAATTGTGACATCACACAAGATGCGGATATTACACCAATAAAGAATAATCAAAACTTGGAAAACCCCAAAGTATATCCTCGGACTAATAGTTGTGAGAAATGTATGCTGAATTCAGAAAACGAACAATCTGATCGAAGTAAACGAGAGTCTGTGTCTAGCAACTGCGATTGTGACGATTGTTTTCTAGGCATTGGAGATTCTACGTCCATAGATACAATAGATGGATCACCCCCTTCAAAGTTAAAACGAAAGGTATTTCATTTTTCATAATGGAAGTTCTTTTCTCTTTAAGAAGTATTAATCAATAAAATATCTTTCTGGGAGTTTTATTTTATATCTTAAATAATTATAGCAATATCTGCTTTTGGCTTTGGGGTATTGAAATAAGTAAAATGTTAAGGTTTATTAAATGGCAAATAGAAATATGTTGCATTACAAATGCTTTATCCACAAGGGATGCAATCATACTTTTCTTAAACGGTAAAAATATAACATAAGCTTCTTTGACATTTGAAAAGAGAAAGTCGATATCCGAAGTACTTCGTAAATTTCTAGTGTTCCATAGTGAGAGGTCTGTGCCTTCTATCAGTTCATTTTTAGCAAAGCAGAAGTTAACCTGTATTTTGCAAAAACTCTCGAAATTGTAAACTTCCAACTGGGAAGACTGATTTCTGGCCTGTTATATGTCACATTGCTAGTCTCTTAATGGGATAAACTGTTTACAGGTGAACCCACAAATGTAAATTGTTCAGGGGGAACTTAGATATCAATTATTCATATTAAAATACGAATCTGGTCTGAGAGTGTTGTTTGTATATGAGACTTTTCATAACAGATATGCCAATAACATAAAATGAGATTTTCAAAAAATCATAAAAAATTATAAAATGATATGTTCAAAAGAGATATGCCAATGGTTAACATTAAGTTAACATCATCTGTATATATTACCTTTATTACCTGATGAACTCTTGCTTCGTTCATTAATTACGACCACTGTCTTCTAAGGTCATTATAGCAGGTATCAATCAAAAATATGCCAGAAACACAGAAACACATACTGTAGTACATGTATAGTGTTACCATATAAATGGAACAGTTTTGGCACCAGATAAATGTGTTGAAATGAAAACTAAGGTGTTTGACTTATAAGGTGTTTCACTAATTAAGGTACTTGTCTTATTTAGGTGTTTGTCCTATGTAAGTGTTTCTCTTACAGAAACTTAACATAGGGCTCCTCTAAGGATGGTTTCTGGCTCTGTCTTTGAGTGTAAAATACGGAATATACCAATGAGGTTTTTCTCGCCAAATATTGCGGTAACCAAGATACAATACAATTCAATACAATATAATACAATACAATACGATACAGTACAATGCAATACAATACAATACAGAGGTGTTTGTCCTATTAATATCATTTAATTATGTTATTTCACACACTCTTGTATATTATTGTTGGATGTGTGATTTGGCATAGAGTAGTGTATTATTTCACACATTGGTGTGTCATATTGCTGATGTATGCCATTGTTGTAAGCTCATGCCAATTGACCTTAATGTGATAACCTGAGGCTATGGCCTAGTTGTGGTCAGTTTGTGAGATGTCCAAACTTTTGTGGACCAAGTAGATTTCCCTCTTATATTCAGGAATTTTCAATGTTAAGAAGATGATTTTGGTTATTATGTCACCACCACATGTGATGACATATTGTTATAATCTCCAACTTTTCTGTGGGCAGTGTTCAGTATTCTGTAACAAATGGCAGGTGGTGGTATTTTGCATGTTAACATCTTGTGTTACGCTTTGCAATCATTTAACTTTTCATCTTAAATGAGAGCTTAGAAAAGGTTTTAACTGAACCTTTTACTCGGTTAGATATCTGTAAATCTTTTAAAATTTGAGCAACAAGGAAAAATTTTAAGAGTAAATACAATAGAATGTGAAGGAGATTACAGCTTTTGAGGTTTTCAAAAAAGAATTAGAAACGAAAAAGTGAAAATAATGTGATAAATCCCGGGAATGATAAATAGCAATTACAAAGATCAGCTCATTTTTGAGCTGATATCATTTGTTTGAATTCAGTTATTTTGTTCTTTTCTTATACTTCTCAACTCTTAGAACAAGATATATACTATATCTTGTGTACATGTATAATATGATAGCAATGGTTTGGTAAATATTTCATTCATAATGAGTTGAAATTATTTTCCTCCCTCCCTAAGTTTTCCTCATTTAATGAAATAGTATTTTGTTAGACACACCTTCCTCTAAAGATAACCCAGGCCCGTAGCCAGGATTTGCCAAGGGGGGTTCAATTTTCAAAAATTTCCAGGGGGGTTCACATTTGACAATTTTGGCCAAAATATGGCTAAAATCACTTGAGAAGTGCTCAAAATGGTGAAAAACTGCATGATTTTGAAAGAATTTTTGGCCAGGGGGGGGTTCGTCCGAACCCTGCGAACCCCCCTGGCTACGGGCCTGTAACCCAACACTGCCATAGGGAAATAATTGACATGATATTGCTTATTAGATATATGATTTATGTATACCCTATTTTAGGTTATGTTACTTTGTTGATATGTACATATTACTTTTTGGCCTTCATTGTGAGCCTTATAACTTCTAACCCAAAGTGGCAGAGTGTTCATGTAGATAAAGCTCTCTTTTAAGCAGAAAAATCCTCTTCTGTTGACATTTAACATGTATATTGGGTCCCGATTCGATTTGCTTTTAAGGGCATCCCCATAATGCTGTAAAATCCATTTCTGTATTTCTGACAATTATAAAAGACTTCGTAAGAGATAACGATCATGTTACCTGGGAGGTAATGCATATGAGGAAAACATTTCTTCATTTGATGAATAGCCTTCTTATTTTACCTGTGAATAAATTCTCATTGTGGTATGCTCTGTAGCTCATACAGAGCGAACTTATATGGAAGGTTTAAGGAAAAGGGATGACAATAACATTCTGCTTATTTATATTTATGTTTGTGAATCAAAGGCATTTGTACATTGGAATTAGTGAGGAATTTTATTCTAAGCATGGGGATTCTTACTGGAATTTTTTTCTAATGATCACTGTATGGATTGTTAGAGATGTCTTCCTGGTGTTCTATTATCTCTATTGTTATAATAATGGTTGTCATGGTGTTTCCTGTGTGTCATGGTAACACAATCTCTTTTATTGTTATTATTATACTTTCTAGAGAGGATTCTTCATACTTGTAAAAGGTGAAAATGTTGTTTTTATGTTTCATGGTATGTATGCATAATTTCACATTTAGTTCAAAACAGTTTAATTAATTGAAAATACATATAGTCAGTTGAATTGATTAAACGTCAAGATTGATCTCATATATGTAAGCTTGGTTTGAGCAATGTAGGAGAGAGGGGGGAGGGGAGTAATTAGAATTCACTCAGTCTCGGTTTATGGACTGAAAATCCAAGTGTCATAGGTTCTGTCATTTCATGATTTTTACATTATTGTAACTTTTTACTGCATCTCAAGAGGAAAAAGAGAATCCATGTTAGTCACGATGGAGTTGCACGTCTGAATCTAATAATAAAAATACACATATATCTGTCGCCTTGACTATGTTGCTGTATGATATAATATTCTAATCAAGATGGGCTTATGACCACTGTCATTTTTAGCAACTCGTGTTTCCAGAGCTAAGAGATGAAATATTAAGCATTCATTTTTTATGTTTCAGCCAAGCTCATGGCGGAAGATTCGTAACATGGTTCATTGGTCACCATTTGTCCAACAGTTTAAGAAACATCGCTACCCATGGGTTCAACTAGCTGGACATCAAGGTAGGTACATGCTCTGATGTATTAAATATATTTTGGATAGGTGAATTATGAATATGTAAGCATTAGAAAGCTTGCTCTGTCTCAGCATGTAAATAATAAAAGTTTGTCTTAGATATATTTTGAACTTTTTATCTGAAGCTTGAAAGTGTCTTAATCTCGTGATTTTTGAAGAAATGTATGTTGCACTTACTGAAATGCATGAGCAGTAACAGTTGCATTTTGCTGGACATTTAGATTCTGAATAATATTTCAGATTTTTTCTGAATAATAGCTTATTATAAAACTCAAAATTTATGATCAAATCCCAATTTCAAGTCTTGTATCAAGCTCCTGCTATCAATTTGCTTGTTTTTGTTTGAGAAATGAGAAATATATTTAGGGATATGATTCAAAGAGCCATATAGATAAATTGTGTGCTTGTGCTATATTGAATAATAACATGCTTTGAGATAATTGCATGCATGATGTGAATTTACATGAGTTTATTAGAGTGAGCCAAGAAAAGTGTATTTCAAACAGATTCATAAACTGTATTATTCCACCATTTTAGTAAATTAAACTGTTTGGCCCACTCTGTTCAAAGACTTATTGTTTTGCATGTAACAATAAAGCAAGCATTGATGTGTGCCTCTGACTCTAATGTTAAGAAAATGTCAATTTAAAGGTCTTTAAAATAAAAAGATGTTTGACACTTTATGCACGTATTTGTTCTATTTTTACAATTTGCTCATGCAAAGTTTTCACCTGAGTCACATTGTTTTTTCTTCTACATGCATTTTGTTTTCTATTTCCTTGACTTCAGGAGATGGTGAGGCTGTCTTGGTATTCTTCTTTTAACTTTTCCTTCATTGGTTGTGGCTTAATAAAGGTGTATGTTGTGTTAAATATTGTCCTGTTCTGCTAATGTTCTTTTAAGGCCCCATGTAAAGATTAAACTTCAATAGGTTATATTTTCAAACTTAACATGGGACCTTTAAGTGTTCATAAATTGTAACATATAATACATATTAGTACTTAATGCTTTGTTGTTTCAGTATAATGTATATGTAGTTGTTTAAATTATCATGAAATTTAAACCTGTAAAGAATTTGATCTTATATGTATTAACTCTAAAAGAGGACACAAATAATTTTTCTGCTACTCACCTATCAATGATTTATTACGGTAGGCAAAATCGAATGAGTTTCCTTGTGAATTGATATACTTGTACCTTTACATTTAGGGTCAAAATATTGCGACTGCCTGTGCTAATTGTGCTTATGCTTTTATGAAAAATCTACATAATCACAATGATATATGATATGTAGGTGAAGTGCTATTGAATAAGCTAAAAACAAGCCATATATAAATAAAAAATATATTCCTGAATAACTGACCATCTGAGCCCTACATGTGTGTAAAATATCTGAATGGAATATAACTATCATAACAGTAACTCTGTGTATAGTCTTGCATATAAACAAGAAAACTATCCTGAATTTTATTTGTCAAACTTGTAACTGAGCTAACTTATTAATAGCCTCTGAGCACTCGCCCTCTCTCACATTCTTAAAATAAAAGAACCAGTCAAACCATATTGTGGTTCACTAGTATTTACAATTACAAGGTTTCGCCCTTGTTAGGTCATACTAAAGAATGTATATGGGGTGAACTTGTTATATACACAATCAAGGTTACATGGGGATTGATTTGTTTTACTATTAGTGGACAATATTTATACATCCAAATAATGCCAAAAATGTAGACTGCAAATTAAAAAGTGAACTTGATTTATTATGATAACACCAATCTTGAGTATTAACAATCATATAAGGTGATAACTACTCTTCGACAAGTACTCCTTACCGAGGCACAGAGTCTAGTTCTAACTATAGATGAAATTATTACAAAGGGTAGGGGGGGGAAGATAAATATGATACAAAAAATACAAAACCCAAAGAATACTTCTATAAGTGAAATACTCAAAGTACAGTTACCTATTAACTTAATTAATGTAAAATGCATTTCTATAACTAAAACATCTCCTCAGGGACTAGGGATGTTCCATTTACTTTTACCGTATGTAGTTTCAACAGAGCTTGGCCAATTATATTATGCTTTACTGATGAAGAACAGTATATTGTATTTAAAATTTGAAAAGGTTGAATTATTTTTATGATCTATATGTTCCTAACTTTTATCAAAAATGTAACAACTTACTTTTAAACACCAATTAATACATAATGTACAACCTCACTAACCATTTTTGTCAATTCGTTTGACGTAAATACTGTCAAAATGTGAGCTAACAAATACAAAGATGTTTTATAAAGGTTAACATGAAATGAGAAAGTTGGCAACTTGTCACCTTGAAAGGAAAACCATGTTTGTTGTCAAAAACTGTTGAACATGCTTTAAAATCAAGTCCCACTCAATTATTAACTTTACAGTTATATATATGTACAGTTAAACCTGTATTGAATGAAAAGTGATCACATCGGAGGTGTTAAAATATACAGGTTTTACTTTACTGTATATTTGTGTATTCGTATGCAGGTTTTACTGGACTGAAGTTCTATAGAACAGTGATCTAAAATTCAATGCTAAAAAAGCCATTAAAGTGAATGACTTGTAATTAAATAGAAAATACTTTCATTGTGGTATATGGATATTAGACTTGTATTTAAAAGTGTATTTCAAGACTTAAAATTCGAAATAAACAAAGAATGTGAATTAAGAATGCCTGACATGACTTTAAGGCAGACAGTCTTACACATCACATCATTATTAATTGATTACATTTTTGTTTTCAGGCAACTTCCGCGCAGGAGAGCAGGGGACTATCTTGAAGAAACGATGCCCTAAGGAACAACAGTGCCTCCAGGAGCTCATGGTTGATATTCTACGTCCATATGTTCCTGAATACAAAGGGGAAGTAGAGCAGGTGAACAAATCTTTTATTACACATCATGAATGAACAACATCAAAAACCACAAACCTTAATATGTATTTAATCAAAATCTTTATCAATTAATTGACTTAATGACTATAACTTTGAAAAAACATAAAAACCTTCTAACTTAGTCATAAATTCTGTCCTAGAAATATTTTTTCATTGAAAAAAATCTTCTTTCTTCAGGTTGGGGAGATGTATATCCAGATGCAAGATCTCCTGTGTGAGTTTGATTCCCCTTCTGTGATGGACTGCAAGATTGGGGTGAGAACTTACCTCGAAGAGGAACTTGAGAAAGCCAGAGAGAACCCAAAGCTACGCAAGGTATGTAATTAGTGTCACATCATACGTTACAAAGGGCATGTTACGAGTGTCGCATCAGTGAGACACATAGGGTATGTTATGAGTGTCATATCAGTGAGACACATAGGGTATGTTACGAGTGTCACATCAGTGAGACACATAGGGTTTGTAACAAGTGTAACATCAGTGAGACACATAGGGTTTGTTACGAGTGTCACATCAGTGAGACACATAGGGCATGTTACGAGTGTCGCTTCATTGAGACACATAGGGTATGTAACAAGTGTCACACAATTGTCCCATTGACTCTCATTTCATTCTAGTAACATTCACTTCAATAGGGTTTGCTCACCATGGGAAAGAATGCCTCAAACAAGCTAGAAATATCAGTTAAAAGGTTGAATGCTTGAAATGCACCAGCAATTTGTTTCAAGTGAGTGCCTTGTTTCTGAGATTAGATGATTGCCATTACCTGAAGGTAAAAAACTACTTAGCTTCTAAGAATGATTTCCTTAACACCAGATATCAAGGCCAATTTCCAGATTTTGTGATTGTTCTTGAGCAGCATTGAAGTTCAGGGATGCTATAATCTTCTTGCTCAGGTGCTTGGCGTTTTGAGCAAACTAAATATGCAAAGTTAAAGTTCATTTTATAATTCAGAATTCAAGGTCAGAATGTTGAAATTTGTTTTGTCCATGATACTAATAATTTGTATTTCCCCTCCTCTAGTGAAATCAACATTTTTATCACATTTTGAAAAAGTGCCTTATTTTCATTGTCTTGAGCTGATAGGCATGCGTGTGTCCGAATCTGGATGGACGTAAATATTTGTGAACAGTGCCAAACATTTGAGTTTGCGTGCATGTTTGTGCTCACCACTCCAATTTGAAGAATTGTTTAATGAATTGTATCTTATTCTGGCCTTTCCCGTGGGTCATAACCCTCCCTCAAACATTGTTAGTTTCTTGGAGAAAAATTGATTGACAATTTTCATCCTGACCCTAACAAACTCCCGTGGAGTTCATGAATAAATGGCCAAATATCAACAAAATCAAGGTCAATATTCTATACAAGTGTAACACAGCTAAACTGCTGATGCAATTGCTCATATATAAACAGGCTTTTTAGAGACACAGGTGTTCCATGAGAAAGGATAATCATCTATTTTTTATAGATGTAATGTAATACTAACTATTAGTATTGCGCCATCATATCAAAAATTATACAAATTGGCTCCCTTTGAGCTTTCGGTACAATATTAAAGGTAGAGCAAGCCGAGTCATTAACTGGATATTAAATGTCGTGATAACCTTCAAAAACTAATGAAATGTTAAGATAAAGTACAGATGTAAATACTTAAATAAATAAATAATCTTTGACAGGATGTCATTAAAGTCAGCTATAAAAATCCCAAAATAATTTAATGACCAATAGTGTATTAACTTAAGAGTCTTAGTTTGTATTATCCCATTCTGATAACTCTAAATTCTGGATAATGAGCATGTTAAGATAAGAAAGGAACAGTTATGTGGCACATTCATTAGTTTTTTATCAGAACTAGGAAAAACAGAAAACCATTTTTATTAAAGGTGTATTTCTTCCACCCTATTGCTTTCCAAGATTTGCTGATTTCATCTTTTCTACATTGTGGGTATACTTATATTTGGAGATGAGTGATGAATTTTTTTATCACTGTCTCATCCCATATAAATGGCAATCTCACATTGATTTACATGTATGTTTTAAACCCCTGAGCACGACAGATTAATCCTGTGATTTATGGGGGATTTAACGAGGGTTTATTAGACATTAATGTGATTGATTCAATTTGTTCGTGCACAGATATTGTACAGATTTTGATGCAAATGCGATGGTTGATGGCAAATTTTTGTCTTAAATCAGTCTAAAAGCGCATTAGAAAAATCAAGTGTAATCACGAAAAGTTGTCTTCAAGGCGCTTTTAAAATTCTGGTGTAATCAGGATTGCGGTTTTCTAGCCTACGTTACCCAAAACGCCTTGAAAACGCCTTTAGCCATGAAATAGGTGTAATTCCACTAATTGTCATTGTCTTGAGCTGATAGGCATGCATGTGTCCGAATCTGGATGGACGTAAATATTTGTGAACAGTGCCAAACATTTGAGTTGACATGCATGTTTGTGCTCACCACTCCAATTTGAAGAATTGTTCAATGAATTGTATCTTATTCTGGCCTTTCCCGTGGGTTATAACCCTCCCTCAAACATTATTAATTTCTTGGAGAAAAATTGATTGACAATTTTCATCCTGACCCTAACAAACTCTCGTGGAGTTCATGAATAAATGGCCCAATATCAACAAAATCAAGGTCAATATTCTATACAAGTGAAACACAGCTAAACTGCTGATGCAATTGCTCATATATAAACAGGCTTTTTAGAGACACAGGTGTTCCATGAGAAAGGATAATCATATATTTTTTATAGATGTAATGTAATATTAACTATTAGTATTGCGCCATCATATCAAAAATTATACAAATTGGCTCCCTTTGAGCTTTCGGTACAATATTAAAGGTAGAGCAAGCCGAGTCATTAACTGGATATTAAATGTCATGATAACCTTCAAAAACTAATGAAATGTTAAGATAAAGTACAGATGTAAATAAATAAATAAATAATCTTTGACAGGATGTCATTAAAGTCAACTATAAAAATCCCAAAATAATTTAATGACCAATAGTGTATTAACTTAAGAGTCTTAGTTTGTATTATCCCATTCTGATAACTCTAAATTCTGGATAATGAGCATGTTAAGATAAGAAAGGAACAGTTATGTGGCACATTCATTAGTTTTTTATCAGAACAAGGAAAAACAGAAAACCATTTTTATTAAAGGTGTATTTCTTCCAGCCTATTGCTTTCCAAGATTTGCTGATTTCATCTTTTCTACATTGTGGGTATGCTTATATTTGGAGATGAGTGATGAATTTTTTTATCACTTTCTGATTCCATATAAATGGCAATCTCACATTGATTTACATGTATGTTTTAAACCCCTGAGCACGACAGATTAATCCTCTGATTTATGGGGGATTTAACGAGGGTTTATTAGACATTAATGTGATTGATTCAATTTGTTCGTGTACAGATATCATACAGAATAGGCAAATTGATAAAACATCTGACAGATTTCAAAAATAAAATAACCCCTGTATTGTGAAGAAAATGTAAAAAATGTAGAAATTATGAACATTTAATTCCAAAGAATCTATATTTTGATTGTACTCAGGTAGGATCTGAGTACATTTGACTGGGTAAATAACTTAAACATGAGCAGCTTCAAAGCATCCATGAAAAACTCATAACTCATTATATGTAAACATTATATACAGGGTGTTCATAAAGCCTCTTTTCACTTAAAGGGGCAACAAGGACTGTAGAGAGAAAATTCAATTTATTTTTATTTTTTCTGAGCTGTCAGGTCAATATTTGGCTTAACACATCTTCTTTGACATACCTATTTTCTTAAAATGTATGGATAAACTATCAATATCAGCATTAAGAAGTGTAAATTCAGTTAAAAGCTTCTGTAGAGGGAGTCCCACTTATAGATTTTTAAGATCCACCACGTTTCAAGAGGAATATCAGCTGAAATAATGTTCATCCAGGGGGTTTCTTTGTAGATAATAAAAATATATGTTAGTCTTAATGAAATATCCAAACTTAAATATATTTTGACACTGGTCAATGATCGTTGAATGGCCCCTCTGCACTAATTGTTGCACCTTTAACACACTTTGTATATTAATTGTAAGGACTTTATGGACACAGTGTATATATTAAGCCCATGTTTCAGGACATGTATAAGAAGATGGTTGATGTGGATCCAAACGAACCAAGTGAGGAGGAACATAAACAGGGCGCTATAACAAAACCACGCTACATGCAATGGAGAGAGACCATCAGCTCCTCTGCATCCCTTGGCTTCAGAATTGAGGGAATAAAGGTTTGTGGTTTATCTCATACTTAAATGGGTTTGGGGTAGATAACACTGATGATTAGTATGTCATATCTGTGGAGTTGACTTGATATATTATGTATATGTCCTGTTTGAGCCAAAGAACCAGGAATCATATCCATCTCACTTGATTGAGTTGTTTCATATTTTGTACAATGTAGTGTTGTATTTCTTGACATCTTGACATCCCTCAGGATAAATCCTATATCCAAAACCTCCCAATTTATAACCCTCTAGAATAAAATCTCGTATATGAAAAAATTATGTAAATAAATAGTATTAACAGAACTTATTTCTTTGTTCAAATTTCAATATATGAACACCTTAATTAAACCCCATAAAAGGACTATGAATACAATACCAAGGCCGTGAACTGCAATTTATATGTGTTAACATATATTGCCACTTTTCAGAAAATGGATGGTAGTTCAAGCAACAATTTCAAAAGAACCAAAACCAAAGAAGAAGTCATGGCGGCATTTGGACAATACACAGACAACAACCCAGTCATTTTGGTATGTATAATTAGCATTTGGACAATACACAGACAATAACCCAGTCATTTTGGTATGTACAATCAGCATTTGGACAATACACAGACAATAACCCAGTCATTTTGGTATGTATAATTAGCATTTGGACAATACACAGACAACAACCCAGTCATTTTGGTATGTATAATTAGCATTTGGACAATACACAGACAACAACCCAGTCATTTTGGTATGTATAATTAGCATTTGGACAATACACAGACAATAACCCAGTCATTTTGGTATGTTTAATTAGCATTTGGACAATACACAGACAATAACCCAGTCATTTTGGTATGTATAATTAGCATTTGGAAAATACACAGAGAATAACCCAGTCATTTTGGTCTGTTTACAATCAGCATTTGGACAATACACTGTCAACAATCTTCATTCTGTATGTGGAGCACCTCCCAAGTGGAACATTTTTGGGGTGCATTTCATTTACACAGATTTTACTGTAACACAACTATTTAAAAAATTACACTTTCCAAAGAGACCTATACTATCATCTTTGAAAAATAAAATGAAAGAATATGATAATTTGAAGAAATATTTACATGAAAATGAATATTGCACTAACGTGGGAGAAAACATTCTGTTGATTCACTGCTAATTTTGTATTTTTGAGATGACATTCTTAATGTTTTTGTTCCAGAATAAATATGTACGCAGATTAAAGGCAATTCGTGCAACTATGGAGAGTTCACCCTTTTTCAGTTCACATGAGGTATGTAAGATTGAACCCTAGCAACCCCTACAGTAAATACCAATACAGTAAGACCTGTTAATTGGAACCTCTGTAAGTAAAACAACTCCCAAGTGGAACACTATTTAGAAGTACTATATGTTCCAACTACACAGGTTTAACTGTATGTTCAGAGTCTTGACCCCTACCATAAATATTGGTATATGTAATGTATAACTGACACCTAAAAAATCTATAAATATGATGAGTGTATTTATTCTGTAATTTGGATTATTGTAGTTATTCATACATGAATAATGGATTTAATCCATTAATGTAATTGTATATCATGACAGATAGTTATTACAATCAAAATCATTTTTTGCGAGTCACAACTGATATAATTATGCATATTATGTATAGTAAACTGGCAATATTATGTAAATCTATTTCTCTGCATGTTTCAGATCATTGGTAGCTCATTACTGTTCGTTCATGACAGCAGTCATCAAGCTGACATTTGGATGATCGATTTTGGAAAAACCACAAAACTTCCACCTGGTCGAACTCTAGATCATCGTGTCTCCTGGGAGGAAGGAAATCGTGAAGATGGATATTTGATAGGTTTGGACAATATGGTGGAGCTATTGAGTGAACTATCTGAATCTGAATCTGAAGAAAGGCTTGAAACAAAAGAGGATGAACCAAGTTGAAGCTGTTACATTTTTTGTAAATGCGTTTGTTTTGATGTTTTTTCTAATTTGTGAGAGTATTTCACTAGCTGTATGTATTTTTGAGTCAGGGCCGATGCAATTCAAAGTTGATGAAGAGCTTTCTCTTTTCAGTTTATCAGCCATTTTTCTGACTTCATCATTTGGAGCAATATGTAGGATTCCAATTTTAACATGGGACCAAGTATGAAAAATTGTATTTTTGAAAAATTTGTTATTTTGGACATTTATTTTGCAGCCCACAGCTGTTTAGTAGAAAAATGTAGAATATTTGTATGCATATTTTGATTATTATTTGAAATGAATTTGTTCTTTGAAGGTCAAAAAAGGCTCTGTTCAATATCAAATATATTGTTGCTCATAAATGTATTTTGGGTTCGGTTTCTACCTTGAGCCTGGGGATTGGCCACGTTACGGAAGAATGCTCTTTGGACTGATAACAGCTTACTTTAATACTTGTAAGAATGAATATTCTCCTTTGAGACAGAGAAGAGATTGATGAGTGTTCATTTCTCACATATGAAAATGAGCTACTTTGTAGACTTGTCAGTGATCATTCATTCATCTATTGGCTTCCTATGATTAAAATGTCTGTCTATGCCATGCTCTTTCCAGACCTTATCACAAATGGATTTCATTATCAAGAAACTCAATACACTGTGACTACTTGTATTGCTACTTTCTTAGCATCAATTCAACTTATACTGCATCTTAGAAAATGACCATTACATTTAGGGCAGAGACATTTCATTCATAGGTAGACTGAAGTATCACCAGTTCTGTTCATAATTCTGTTGTTTTTCACCAAACCAGGGGTCAGGGATCCATTTTGGTTTTGTCATAACTTAGGGACCAAGTACTTGATATGAAGAACATTATAATCACTGTCAAGCTGTCATGCAAGGTTATACATAATCCCATGTTTTACATTTATGACATACAAGGGGTAAAACTAGAAAACTGTTGATAGAATTTGAGTGAAAATATATTGAAAACTCCATTGGGTGGAGTAGAGCAGCAGTTTTCACTGAATTTTCTCTAAAAACTGACCACCTTAATTGATGTACATAGAGCAATTACTGTTTAAAGCATACATAATTCAGGTTGTATATTTTCTGACAAAAAGTATCAATTGAAAAAAGAAATACTGTCTGTACTAAATGTGTATTCATCATTTATTTCAATTTAATATTAATAATTACTTTAAAGAGATATGTACATTCAATGAAAATATATTAAGAAATTATTGTGTTCAGTTCATACATATATAGATCCAGGCCTTGTATTTATTGTATACATTTATTGTATACATGATATAACATAACATGCCTTGTATTTATTGTATACATGACATAACATAACATGCTGATTTAGAGTCTGACCGAATTTTGTATGGTCATCACATTCATTTTATAAGCACTGTTGTATATGTGAACATTGAAAATAACTCATATATCAAGATTTCTATATTGCTATTTTGATTACTCAATTAATTCATTTTGCTCGTGTAGTGAAACCTATCATAGTGAACATGTTTGGTTCCATAACAAGTGTTCATTCATTGGAACCAAGAGTTCATTCATTGGAACCGAGTGTTCATTCATTGGAACCAAGTGTTTATTCATTGGAATCAAGTGTTTATTCATTCTTACTAAAGTGTTCATTTATTGTGGCCAGGTATTACATTTGTTACTCCAAAGAGAAGTCTTATAATCCATACTTATTCATTTTGAAACATTACATGAAACAATACCCACATGAGACACCTTAGGTATGTATGGTAGAGTGGATTAGTGTTATGTAGAAATCATCTGAGGAAGTCCACATCCAGCTGTTTCACTCCCAAAATAACATGTGTCTCATTGATTGACATTGAATTCCACCACTGAGTTTAAAATGACAGAAGTGTTTACTTTGACAGGTTTCACTAAATGATGATATACATGTAGTTCAATAATTGTTATTTCAAAGACATGTAAGTCAATATTATTTCATGTCATTGGTTATCTTCATTACAAGTCATGCTTTTTGCATTTCTAAATATATCATATTAAACATTTAAGATAAAGTGTTGTTTTTTATTCATTTTAATCAGCCATCATATCATACTCCGTTAGGGCACAATTTTTGGTCCACAACTGAAAATGGCTGAAGATGCTTTAAGGAGTCTGACTGGTTCTTTGAAGTATCCTTATGGTGGAAACATCATTGGTTGCAGCAAAGTCCAATATTGTACCTTTTTGTAATTCAAATATCTACATTATGTATGTGCCAGGCTACAATCGTGATTGATCTTGAAACTCTAATTATCCTCTCAAATCCCCTATTTGGTAAGATTGTTCTTACAGCCTTAGAACATTTCCCCTTGGCCTTCAATATTCTTCAATTTTGAAATATATCAGTACCCTATCATGGGGCTGATCACAGTTGTGGTGTCTCACAGGGGCCCAAACCAAGTGCAGCCAATGAACTCTGAAATATACAGAAATCAAACAGTGATTGTAAACATTTTATATTGTGTTCCTCTCCAGACAGAGACAGAAGATACTTCCAATGTTAGAATTCATTTTCTGAAAAAACTCCTTGAATGATAAAAATGAATAATAGACCCTATGACACAATTTGTTCTCACTCTTGCATAGAATTTATCTGTTTTGATTTCAATCGAAGACATGTATGGAAAATCTTAATATTATATATAATCCTTAGAACAGGGGTAGTATGTTATATATATGTTCACTAACATTTCCATTCTTCTGCCATCTATATTCCTTGAATTATATTCTCATATTCCAGAAATGTAATATTAAAGTTATCCCGTTTCTACCTGTTTACACTGGCTTTGGTTCCCATGGTTCCCTGCCATCAAACCTCTTACCACCACTCAATCTATATCTGAGGTCAGAATGAGAGCCCAGTTGGACCACCAGATGCTGCAATAGGTGTCACCCCAAGCAGTGAACATGCCTGTAACACAAAAAGAACCATATATTCTATTGCAGATTGCAGATATATTGGACTGAAACAACATTCACAGATATACTGGTATGTTCAAATAAGACAGGTGTTCAGATTTACTTGTTTTACTGTACTATGATAATTTTTGTAAAAATGTTATAATTACTAGAATAAACAAGGCATTAACATACAAAATGTCAACACCTGACAATTGTTACAGAAACTGACCACCAAATGCCAACTGCCAACCACCAAATGCCAACGGCCATATACCATACACAAAAAAGTTGGAGACTATAACAATGTGTCACCACTTCTGACAAAAATTAAGGCAGTCATTAAGAGCGATAAAATTCTTATAACTAAAGCTGACTCATGTTCATAATAAATAGCTGCCAATTCAAAGATGGAATTTAAACATACAGGGTGTCCGGAAAGTAAAGATACAAATACTCTTATTTTAAGAAATTTGGTTTTTTTGAAATGAAATTGCTACAGATTGTAGAGGAACAATATTACAATATATCTACCAACTGTCATCACATATAGTCTAAATGTGTTCAAGTTACGGTTGTTATGGTTACGGATGTGAGAGGTATGCGGAGCAGTTCCAGAACAACGCTAAAAAGTGAAAAATTGCTAAAAGACAACCATTTGAAACAGTGCTTTTTGTTGTATTTTCTATCTATGTTTTGTTTTGTTCATCATTGTATTATTGCTGCCATAGTGTTTTCTTTTATATAATGATGCCATTGGTACATATCAGAACTATGTTATGTCACTAACCAGTATTATGAAAGAAATATTATGCAAGTGCCTAGAAGAATGGTCCTTGGCCATTAGTAGGAAAGTCAATATTGCATCTCCACAATGCACCAATTCACAAAGTAAAAAACAAATCTTACAATGGAGTGTCTTGACATTAAACCTTTCTATACAATGCCCCGTATTCACCTGATAAAGCCTCTTTAGACTTCTACCCTAATGAGCATTTGAAAGCAATATTTATAGAAAGTTCAACATACAAATGAGACTCAGCTGGAAGCCAATGTTATCAGCAATCTGAGAGATGGACAGCAGCGGTTTTGTCAGGTCTTTGAATCGCCGGTCAAGATGCACCAAGAATGTATAGATAATGGGGAAAATACTGAATATTCAATGATAGTAGTAATATGAAATGATCAAATAATGTTACATTACTAATCCCTATGCTGTTGTGGTACATAATTTGATATAACATAGGAATAGATGGTGGAGTGCCAAGATCATATGAGCAGGAAAGAGATTTGTGCAACACAGTTGTGATGTTGCTCCACTTACCCTCGACTCCCATTACCATAACAACTATAACTTTTTCATTTTGAAACTGAAAGTCATGACAGTTGCAGGATATATTGTTATAATGTCATTCTACATTCTGGTGCAATTTCATCTCATAACAGGTAAATCTCTTGAAATTAGAGCATTTGTATCTTTACTTTCCGGACACCCTGTAATTCCATAAGTTCAAGAGTGTTGCAATATTTAATACCTGTTTGAATTTAGCTCTTATCTTATCCAGTATTTCAAACAGATTTTCTGTGGCTGGATCACTGGGGAAACGTTCCACCAGCTCTATCAAAGCCTTCAGTGTCTTCAAGGCCCTAGAAGTAAATAATTATGTCACGGTTATCACTGGTCACACATTTTATATAATGCAAAATGGAGTGGAAGGGAGAAATTACCAAGGAATAAAGCCAATAAACTAAACTGAAAGTGGAACAAAAATAGACATATATAGCATAATAGGAGAAACCTCGAGAAATTACTAAATAGCATCATGACTTTGTAAAAAGTTTTTGAACGATAAACTCACTTTTCTTTTGGTTGTTCATCCTGCTCTAGGATTGCCTTCCATGTCTTTGCAAAGCCTGCATATGTGCCTATCTGAAAATATATTATTTCATTCGCTTTATTTTTTCAATTAACTCTGCTTTGTGGAATGAGTGATGAGTTATTGCCTTTTTATCCCATCAAGCAGTTTATATACATGTATTTAAATAGTCTTCTTGCTCAAGATGGGTAACATCCACGGCAACCACATCTACTGTAGACCATACCCATGTGAAGAAGGGGTTGTACTTCCAGTTTATATATCAAAATAGTCTTTTCTTGCTAAAGATGGGTAACATCCACTGTAGACCATACCCATGTGAAGAAGGGGTTGTAATTCCAGTTTATATATCAAAATAGTCTTTTCTTGCTAAAGATGGGTAACATCCACTGTAGACCATACCCATGTGAAGAAGGGGTTGTAATTCCAGTTTATATATCAAAATAGTCTTTTCTTGCTAAAGATGGGTAACATCCACTGTAGACCATACCCATGTGAAGAAGGGGTTGTAATTCCAGTTTATATATCAAAATAGTCTTTTCTTGCTAAAGATGGGTAACATCCACTGTAGACCATACCCATGTGAAGAAGGGGTTGTAATTCCAGTTTATATATCAAAATAGTCTTTTCTTGCTAAAGATGGGTAACATCCACTGTAGACCATACCCATGTGAAGAAGGGGTTGTAATTCCAGTTTATATATCAAAATAGTCTTTTCTTGCTAAAGATGGGTAACATCCACTTGTACACCATACCCACGTGAAGAAGGGGAGTTGTAATTCCAGTTTATATATCTAAATAGTCTTTTCTTGCTAAAGATGGGTAACATCCACTCACATTATACACATTTGAAGAAGGGGAGTTGTAGTTCCAGTTTATATATATTTTCTTGCTAAAGATGGGTAACATCCACTCACATTATACACATTTGAAGAAGGGGAGTTGTAGTTCCAGTTTATATATTTAAATATGTCTTTTCTTGCTTAAGATGGGTAACACCCACTCACATATGTGGAGAGTCTTGTTACATCCTAGATGAATCTTTAACACAGCACAATGAACAACATTTGAACAATCTGATTATTTGACTACATATACCAGATCTATTTGATTGCAATGAGGCTATGTTAGGTTTCAGTATTGACAGTATTTTCTCTGTATCAACCACAAGTGAATCAAAACCAACACGATCATGTTCTATTATTTCCGCCATACCCGCCATATCCGCCATAGATGTAAGATGACTAGATGTAAGTTGTAACATGTTTGGTATCTGGAGCATATATTGTCGCACGCATTCTAGCGCACACTCTCTAAACACCAGCGCAAGAAATTCACAGTAGAATTCAGGGGAACTGATACATGAAGATTTCAGTAGTTCTAGTATGATGTACACTCCAAGCAGGAATATTGTTGTTCTAAAGCTGTTTGATAAACTACAACCTGATTTATAGATATGCATATCAAGACAGTCTTTATCAAGGAGATCTTCAAGCCACTGATAATTTATTGCAACAATTTTTGAGTTTCCTACAGCTCTTAGCAACAGTTTACATAGATCTTGTGCAATATCACAATAACATTTCCCAAGAGATTGTTCATCTGCACTGCTGTCACATTGCTCCTGGTGGTATCTTACCAATGTATATAGTGCATGTGAATGAATGTCTATTTTACAATTAAGTGTCTCATTATACTGTGACATAATATATTTCAGTGTGATCATTACAATCCTGTGATGTTCATCTTTCCTGGATGCTCGCAACTGTGGTTTCTCATAGAATGATTTCTTCCATCTATGACCCATAGGGAATCCCATATAGAAACTGTCCAGTGTATCAGGTAGCTGAGGTAAATTGAGTATTTTCAGACAGAATGCCAAATCTATGTCTGTTACACACAATGGTCCCCACACCATCAGCTGGATGCATGGACCAAGCCTTGATGGATATAAGATGACTTCATTCTCTTCCAGCTGAGATGATTCTACAGGCGTAGGCGTCCAGTTTACACGATTTTGCATCCTGTAGATCAGTTCACCCTCTGTGTGTAGTTGTGATAAACACTCTGCAACAGCTTCATGTATAATGTACTTGGTTAAATAGTCTGGATCAAGGGAATTGTCTGATGTTATTAACTTTGGATGCTTCTTGGTAAGATTTAGTAAATCAGTTTGAGGATCATCATTAGATAACTTTACTTCCAACTGAACGGGCTCATCAAAAGCAAATATTCCACAATCTCTAGAAGATATCACTACATATTTGGAGAGAGCCATTGGGAGGACAAAATCACACTCACGTGGTGTTTCTATTTTAGTTCTATTTGACATGCTTCCATTTAGTAGTACGTCATCCACTGCTAATGCTGGGTGCATTTCATTGAATTTATCAAGGATTGGTTGTATAACACGAGTCTTGATGTATTGCACATGGCTGTCTAGCTCTTCTTGGGTGTATTTCAGTTTAGCTAAGTTATGTATTTCAATTATATGCTGAGACAGTTGTTGTTCTTCAGTTGCAGTGAGACTAGTTTTTAGAGGAACAGTTATAATATCCATGATGTAAGTAATATGTGTTCAACTAATAAACTCAAAATGTCCAATCATGAGAAAGTTTAATTTAATTTTTCATTTCAAACCAAATTACTAGTAATGGATATTACTTTTTAAATTTTTGTTTTTTGGCCTGAATTAACTGGGCATATTTCAGATTCATGATTATTTTGTTCATTGGAATTTGTTACTCTGTTGAGTTTCCATTTTCTAGTTTTAGAAACTCCTTCGTTGAAGCCTTTTCTCCTTCTGTCTATCAATTCATATACTTTCCACGTCAATATTCTGTTTCCATCTAGAGGGGAAGCCAAAATATACAGTACTCCTATTCAATCAAATTTGCATTTTGAATGCAGCTCTATAATATGCCCAGTTAAAGGTTTTATATTCCCTTGAATAGATGGATACTATTACCAGTTTACATCCCACAGTTGTAAACCATTTTAGTTCATCAGTGTTCTTTATCCGATGCTTTTTATATTTTGTTTTTTTGGCAGGTACAGCTATTTGTATTCCCTTAAATACCGTTTAGAGTTTAGATCCCATAATTTAGAGACACCTTTAAGTTCATCATTTCAGCGTTCTTAATCGAATGCATTTTATATGCTCTTTTCTACAGCAAATGCTAATCAAACATGGCTGATTTCTTGGAAGTGGCACCTATTCAAAATTCCCAGGACCTGTATCGATCTTGCTTTTTTCCAATAAAGTACAATGGGCAATCCAGCATGTTAAAAATATGTCAACTTAACCCATGAAAGAGCTTACTGAATATTAATGAACACACAAAAAACACTTCAAATGGACCAAACAATTTAATTTGTTTAAAATCCAGGAAAGTTGTTACTTGGATCAATAAAGATGAAATGATATATTTGTTGACATTGCCTACTGCAGCATAAAAATTAAAATATCTTGGAAATATTTATTTAGTGATGTGCTTCGTAGACACAAACTGACAAATGTATGTTCTTTAAAGAGAGAATCAGAGATAGCAAGCAGGCTAAACAAAAAATCTCAATTTTAGAATATCTTCGGCTCATGTCATTCCTTGTCATGTCTATCAAGTTCTAAAAATCACAAAAGTGTATACTTTATTCCAGGAAAACTAAAGATTTTTACATTAAAGGCAGAATCTGATCCATTAGACGATACTTTTTTGTCTTTTTATGACGTGTAAACTAGATAGATTGACGCATTAGTACTCTAATTTACCGTATATGCCTCCAAAACAATGTCCAACACATATAAGTATCATAATATTGAGTTTTACCAGAGACTAACCTTCGTTTAAAAACTCCGCCATTAGAGCTCCCAGGGTGCATTGCGCGTAAACAAATCTTGAACACCAGATGGCGTTATTGCGCGCGAAAAAGAGAAAAAATGTCAGACTCGAGTTCAGTTGAGGTAAGAAGCCGTGTTTTATACGTTATTTCGTCAAATCCAACGACAATCTTGTGTAATTGAATTTTGTGAATATCTATCTTGATATTCCATAGGAATTTTTGTATTATAACCGTATGAAAAAGGTTGAAATTGGGCAAAATTGATCAGTGTCTTTGTCCAAATTCTATTTTTCATTTTCTTGACTGACGGTCCTTATTTGGGTTGGTTGTTCCTTCTAGATGCAGAGACCCAACTACCTCTATTCAGCAGATGATGAACCCGATTCACCATCTGGAATGATGACAAGAGGAAGAGCTGCTGCCCGGGCAGCAAGAAGACCAACTGCACGATCCAGATCAAGGTCTGGGAGGCGACAGAGGGGACGAAGAGGAAAGAGTAGGCGAGGCGGTCCAGAAGGAGAAATGGCCAGAGATTCCGTGATTCCTTTATTGCAAAGTAAAGAGGACAAAATGAAGGTGGGTATTCATAGTTTTACTTCAGTACTAAAAGTATTACAGTTGGGGACAAAAATAAATGACAGGTCGATTTTCGATCACCATTTCCTAATTATGGTGGTCTGAAAGCCCATAATTTCCAATATTGTCTAGATACATATCCCTTAAAATTTGTATATTTTACATTTTGTATAATCTCATCCACTGATTTATGGCCTCTTGTAAATTCTCTTATTTTTAACATGGGAAATCCTCACTTCAGCAAATCCACCTGTCATTTATTTATGTCCCCAACTGTAGCTAGTCTACCTAAACTCTCATTCTTGCTATCATTTTCAATGACGAATGTTGTTTGGGTATATTATTCTATCAAAGAACAGTCAAGGACTATTTTAAAGGAATAACAAAGCAATGTCATGAGTAAAGGACACGGTACGGTTTAGAGAACAGTCTCCTGAGCTTATATTTTTTATGAAAAATCTAGAAATATCACCCAAATTATGACTATTCAAAAGTACATGTAGACATTCAAATGTATATTATGCAAAAAATCAAATTTGTCCAAAGCAGGGTAATGCTCAATTTGAGTTACTGATGAACTTCATTCTCCAAACTGAGAATAGTTCTTTATAACGAAAACGTTGCAATTTATGATAGACTCAGCTTATTACATTCCACCTCATACTTATTTTTATTGCAACATTCTTTACTAAAAATGAATGCTCACATTCATTATATAATGAAGTATTAGTCGAACCACGTTGCTTTGAGGAGTCTTTATGGTTGGAGCAACTTTGCTTTGAGGTGTCGACATGGGTTGAGCCAATGTGTCTGATGACTCGAACAAGTTGGTGTCCCATGACACTCCTGGTTTCGGCAATGCCTCCTCATACCTAACAAGCATAAATTTAAATTGAATAGTAGAACAATATATCAGTTTTTCTTCATTATATCATTTTTTCTTCTATCTAGATTCAATCACATATCACATGTGCTCGTTGGGTTGTACATGCTGGGAGTACATGTAGATCTAAGGGTGTGGGGCCGTCTTGCAAACACATGTATTTCCATGACGCCCCTACACTCTTTTTACACAGGGGGCACCCGTGACGTTCAGTAGAACTCATAACTTGCTAACGAGAGGCCTTTCAATTCCTCAAAAACAAGGGAATATGTGCAGTCTCGTCCTACTGATAAATTTTGGAAAAAAAATCTAAAAAAATAATAAATTGTCGTACTTATCCAACAATATTTCGGCGAATTCAGCGTGGGAAGTCGCAATGGACTCCTCAAAAAGAGTCTGCCAACGCTCATAAGTAGTCCCAAGACTCACAATCCTTCTTCCTCGCGATCTGTCTCTTTGTTTTTGTCTTCTTTTGCACTCGCTATCGGTGAGTAACTTTTTCTTAGGCATGTTTTGGTTTATCTACTCGCCAGATGGCGCTATTGAGTTTGAAGAGCGAAAGTTTGAAAAATAAGAATGGTTACCATTCTTATCCTGCCACGTTTAAACTAAGCTTTTGTGGCTCAGTTAGCATACTGTCAAGCAAGATTGGGCACTTTTTATAAAATTGGAGTGTTCGTCCGTCTGATAGAGCAAAAGAAGACAAAGAACCCCGGAAAAGAGGTATTTGAAGCTCTCTATATCTGATTCTGCCTTTAATGTATTATTTTTCTATAAGAATGGTTACCATTCTTATTATTTTGGAGAATTTAAACATTTTTCATCCATTTTTGCACTTTGAATCATTAATAACTTTACTAATTTATAACATATTGTGAATCTTTTCGGAGATATTGTATTTGACATTGTAATGAATAGATTTGTAGGTCAATTGTACAAGTTGCTTGTAATTGTGTCACCCCCTATAGATCTGATTCTGCCTCTAATAGCAACCTCTAATAGCAACCTCCAATAGCAACCTCCTTGAATTTCCATTGGAATTAAACTTCTATGCCTGTGACTGACCATTATAAACTTTAAAAATATATATCGCAATAATGTTTACATTTATGATCAAAATAATTGTTTCAACATTTATCATTGCATGACTTGCAATATTTCTTATAAAACAACTAAAACTCATTCCCTTCTACCAATGAACATAGTTCAGGAGGTCGAGGGGACATTAAATTTAGCATTCTTTCCTTCATTTCTATATCTAGCTTGTCACACTATGCTCAGTAGTTAGTCATTCCCCAAAAGCCTGGGGTGCCCTTGGATATATAGACCTAGATAAAATATAATTTGATGTTAATAATGATTTTTACAATACCTCTATGCCAATCTGTTTGCCTTTATCATAGCCTAGTTGGAAGCCATCCTTTACTCCACTCTCCTTGCCCTGCTCTATACCTTCCACATAACCCTTTTTATGGAATCTGAAAATGTAAATGGTCTTTGTTGAAAAAGTCAAATTTCCAAACTTACGGAACAGAATGCACACTATCATATGTAACTAATGTGACAGTTGTTTATGCACACAAAATATAGTCAGTTATCATCAGGCCTGTCAACAGTCCCACAATTTATTTATTTGTCAAGCATTTGCTAAGTCACATCAGTTCTTTTTGTGTGACCAAATAAACATTTTTTCTGATTATTGTCAAGCAAAAATATTTCCAGAGAAGATCTTCAAAATAAATGAACGCCGAAACATAAAAATAATGAATGCCAAAAAATGAACGTAGTTTGTTCTGAACTTTCACAAAAGATCGCTCTAAGAAAAGACTAAATAAAAGCCGATGCAGATGGTCATATGAACTAAGACTACATGCTAAGTTAAATGAAGGTTTATTACATTTGAGTTAATTTATAGCAACAGTCCACAAGGGATAGCGTAAAAAGCATTAAAACAAACAGGGCTTGATGATAGCGTAAGGCCAAACTGTGGCCGAAGAATAAGGTAAGGATTAACTCATATCCAAAACCTCTCATAACATAACCATCATTTATACTGAGTATAGTAATTAATCAAATGATATGCAAATTTTGGCTAAATCTTTTTCTTTTTTCAAGAATGTTTGATGAAGCCAAACACGTCATGTTGATGTCCTGTCAAGACAAATTCAAACGCATAGAAAAATATTAGTTGGTTGGTATACACAGGGAAGGGGTCTAACCTGTAATATAGCACCAACTGAAAAATCAAATAAAAAATTCCTTGTCATCTCAAAACAACAATGAAGTACATTATTTGATAGATAATTGGTACAGAAATACAAAAATATACATGCCGATGCGATCAGAGTCATACAAGTCGAGAGTTTTAAAAGGATATCTTTCTGAAAAATTTGTAAAAAAACATACTTTTGCTTCCGAAAAGAATTTCGTTATCTTGATGTTTTATTATTTTTATAAAACTTGTTGATCGATAGTTGCTTTATAATATCCTTTTGACATAGACATAGACATTTTAAAATATCATTATGAAATATTTAGTCTTTTAGCTTTCCAAATCAAAATTCATGATGAAATCTCGTGAAAAGAAACTTGGGTCAAAGTTTTGTTGATATTAGTTCACTGCACTTGGGGTTATCGATTAATACGCGCAGCGCAACCAATCACTTTCTCTTGATTTCCCAGTCACGTGGTACGAGCAGAGGCTAATATTTGTCAGTACTTCCACGTATGGGAGTATACATCGGGTCACTACAATGGCGAAATCTATGATTATTTGTGATGTTATGATGGTTTTGTTGAGACGGATATTTTGAAACATAAGTAAAATTCATAAGGAAACGGATATAATTTTCAACAACAATAGGAAGTTGTCAATATAAGTGAATGATCTGGAAAATCAGTCAAGTCACAGCTGACAAAATTACGTCAGAAAAGGAAAATGTAAAAGGTAAATCATCAAAACACGGGTCGATTATGTTTTTCGAAAAAACTTGTCAGTTTCACATTTTTTTTACAAAATATCACTATTTAGACTTATAGAATTCTACGACCACTTTAGATTGTGGTCGTACGCGCGAATCATTGGTAAGCCTGTCTTTCTACAATGTCGGAGAATGAACTACGCATTGCACTATTAAATGACCTACCTCGATACATTTATTTTATCGGCAGAACGAAGAGATTTTAGTTTTTACATCGGAAATATGTCAGCAAAATGTCGGAAGGGGAATTCCCCAGGGATGTCCCTTATGACATGTATGACTGGTGCATGCCGGGAACTGAATGGAGGAATTTGACGGTTGAAATAAGTTAAATATTACACGCAAATATTGCTATCAAAAATGAAAACCTCTTCGTTCTGCTGATAAACCCATACAATTGGTGATTCAACTACATCTATATCTATATCTTTAATTCTGGAAGAAGGATAGTCCTGTATAATCCAGATCTTTTTATGTATTATTTTCATATCATGTTAAGGGGGACGTTGTTTAATTGCTCACTGGACATGGGTAAGTTGTGGTGAAGCAATTTCTGTCTCATCAGGTGCTTGTCAATTCCATTCTTGAATTGATTTATATCTGTGGTGTCTATTACAGATTGGGGAAGATTGTTCATGTGTTGACGATTCTATTTCCAAATACATTTTTTCTTACATCGAGTCTGCTATATCTATGGCTTAATTTTTCTGTATTCCCTCTCGTCATCTTATTTCTGATTTTTGTGCAATGTCCATGAGTTTGATTCTGTCATAACCATTCACTATCTTGAATACTTGTATTAGGTCACCTCTAGTTCTTCTGTATTGGAGGGAGGGGAGTTTTAGTTGTTTCATCCTATCATAGTAGCTTAAGTCTTTTAAGGTTGGTACTAACTTGGTGGCTCTTCTTTGTACTTTTTCAATTTTAATGACAAAAAGAATTCTAAAATACTAAGGAATGTATCGAGGTAGGTCATTTAGGTGTGCAATGCGTAGCATTTTCTCCAACTTTGTAAAAACATTGACTGACCAATGATTCGCGCGTACGACCACAATCTAAAGGGGTCGTAGGATGTGATAATATTTAGACGTCTGAACACAATTTCATCTTATTGCATTTATGTGCTTATAACCTATCTAATGAGGTGCTGCAGTATGAATATTTTTTACATTTCCCTGGCCTTGTGTGTTAACTTTACAAGGATGATTTCCTTTTTACTTTATACATGCTTATTGAGTCAAGGCTTGCTCTATTGACTTCTTTTTCCTTCTAGACGAATTCTTGTGGTTGATATATGAGTGCAAAATGCAAAGTACACATGGATACACCTGGAATTGACATTGTTTATTTAGTTTCGCTATCAGTTTCGGACATGCAGATAGACTATGTGAGTGATGAATCATGAATGAATGAACAAGAAAATGCAGCAAACTCCTGAGTCGAGGTACCCTTTGCATTCGTTTGACTTCACTTCTTAAAAGAGAGCTTCGTCTTCACTCTTTCAAACTAAAATAAACCTGTGAACTCACCGCGCCAATCAGTGTTCGTCGGCCAAATTTGACCGACGTTCTTTATATGGTCATTCCTTCTGACGTCATCGTTGAGCCCGGAATTGACCAATGACATGCGTATATTTAATTAGAACGCATTTGGCGTATGTTTCTTCAAGCTCGCTGATTGGTGGAAGGTCAGCGCGTAGGTCAAAAGTGATTTACCCAAACTGTCACCGGTACCCGTCGTGGGGGCGGGGCTACTAAACTGTAATATGGTCTCTACTAGGCAGAGTGTAGTTTAACTAGACTCTGCATGCAGGGTAGAGTCGAGGTCTCCAAGTCAAAAAAATGCCTGACCCTCTCATATATCTGTTGATTATCCCTGTTTATAACTGATTCAAGAGCGTGGCACTGAACGAACCTATATGCCTATTTGTTATTTGTTTAGTTGTTGGTTGGGTAACACAGGCCTGTCAACTGTCCCGCAATTTGCGTATTTGTCACGCATTTGCTGAAGAATTTGAAGTCACGCCAGTTTTTTTTGCGTGACAGAAAATGTCACGCAAATACGCATTTTACCTGGTAATTGTCACGCAAAAATATTTCTGTAGAAATCTTTTCGAAATATGTTTACGATACGGTAAAAATACGAACGTCTGAAAAAAACCGAACGCAATTTGTTCGGATTTGTCACGCGAATCCCGTATATGTCACGCATGTTCATTGGAAATTTTCGTACCTACCCCCCCCCCCCCCCCCCCCCCCCCCCCCCCCCCCCCCCCCCCCCCGTTGACGATATCGCGAGCGTAGCGAGCGCGAAAAATTTGAGGTGATCAAAGTTTGGCAAAGGTGCTCAAACTTTGGCCAAAGGTGTTTAAAAGTTGGCCAAAGGTGTTCAAAATTTGGACAAAAGTGTTCAGATTTGGACTTAGGTGTCCAACATTTTGAAGTCACTCATATTAGGTGGTCCCAAGTTGACAGCCCTGGGTAACATGTTAATGACGTCACAAATGATGCGAAGAATCTTTAAACCAATCAGTGAAGTCTATATTAATTGTTTGTTTAGTTGTTGATGTGGCAATACGTGTCTGACGTCACGGGTGATTGCATCATATTCCAGTCACGCCATTTTACGACATTGTATAATTTTAGCTGATTTTGGCCTCATTTCACTTTATTTAAAAGACTTTTAAAAATATATCAATGAGTCAGTATTTTTTCTTATAAATATGAATATTTGAATTTGAGGTCAAAGTCTGAAAATTTGATCAACTGATTGAAATCACATTTTAAAGAGGTGAAGAAGTGAATAATTACAGGAGCAAACGTGATCAATGGTTCGAGGTCTCCCGCAAAGTAGTAGCTACGCTCCTACTTCGCGCTGCCTTCGGCAGAGGAGACCTCGAAAAAAATTGAAAAATAAATCAACATTGCCACCTTTTGAACTAATTTGTACCGTCAATGTGGTAAACTGGCGTTTCAAATGGAATACAAAAGTTGCACCAGTGCTGGATTGATATCAAGTTACTTACGTTTCTTCGAGCATAACGATATCATGAAAGATATCATCATTATTTGAAGAAGCAGGAATACTGATTTCGTTTTCGTTGGCCATTTTGACTAATGACGTCATTTGGGGCATTCCCTTATTCCGGGGACCTGTCATTTTATCAAGATGTTCAGAGGTCAGCTGAATAAAACCTCACAAATAAAAGATCCAATGTTGTCTGGTTTTAATTAGTATGTATCCAACAGACTAACTAAAAGTCAATAGGATATAGTCTATGGTTTTAATATCAGATGTCTAGTTCGAGACGCGTGAGCTCCTTGTGTTTATTCATCGATCCAGGGGGGGCATAGGGCCTGGGCCCAATATATGTGGGTCCAAAAATTTTGTAGGGCCTTAAAAATTGGCTTTTTTGGGCATATTCACCTTCCTTTTTGAAGCAATAATATACAAAAGGTCCTTTATTTCGAAATTTGGGCCCAACGTTTGGTTTTATTGGCTCAAATGTTTTTTCCTGACACTATCTATAATCTGCAAAAGGCTAATAAGTTATAACCCCATTTAAAATTGATATACAATTGACCCTTTTCCATATAAATGGAAAAACAGATGGCATCATGGGTATTGTTATGGCTAAATGACATTTGATTGTGATCTCACATTAAAATTGTGATCCTTAAGAGTAAATGAACTTTAAACATGAATATTCATCAGTTTTAGTGGTTCAATTTTCATATCAGCATTATGTATCTAATAGTTATACAAATTAAATAAAATATGTCCAGTAAAGGAAAATATGATCTGTCAATACAAGAAAAATATATTTCACTTTTTGTGATTTTATAACATGGGGTCTATGGGGAATCTCCCCGAACTAGAAGTCACATTTTCAAAACAACTAAATTTTCAAAGTTGATAAACAATTTTTGAAACATATTTTTAGATGTATTTCTTCATGTAGATTCCAAATATGACATCAGTTTGACTGAATTTTGAATATTTAATGACCTAAATCAAGTTTATTTCTACTCGCATCTAGTCTATTAAGATCTATGATTTGATTCAAATTAAAAATGAGAAAAAAATTTAACAGACACCACTTTTTATTTTAAGTACCTAACAGATAATGTATTTATTTTCATATTACATATAATATTAATTTATCTAAATCTCAAGCAATGCCCCAAAATACCTTATTTTACCTTATTTACATCTTATAGTAATACTTATTGCTAATAGTTGACAACATTCATACATAATGATATAAAATGTATTTATTCTATACTTGGACATGTTTGAGGTATATCAAGCAGGTACCATGTTGTATTCACAGAGAAAGGATATAGTGATATACTCACAATGGAAAAAATGTAAACTAAAAGTATGAAAAAAATCATATAAGAATTTACGATAAAAAGATGTCCTACATACAATAGTTGGTTCATAATATTGGTATTATTATCCCTTGGTCAATGTAATTTATTTGCCTCAGGACCTTGATCCTCCAGCAAATACTGTACTTCTATTTAATTTGGCGGCTGTTTTAATTTGGCAGATTTGCCAAATTGTTAAAGTTCGCCAAATTAAGTGGCTGCCATCCTTGTAAATTAGGACCATTAGTAGAGTGTAATATTGCAAGTCCACCAAATTAAGTAGCCTAGTCGCCAAATGTTCAAAAGAGCAAAGTCGCCTAGAAGTACAGTACATTCTATTGGCCATGGCCTAATCCCAATACATGTACTGCTGTAATATGAATCACATATTGCATATAGGATAATCTCGATTTATTTGCCTGAGACAAAAATTAAAAAGAAGGTGTTGTATGAAATAATTTTAGATTTCTAAAAAATGAAAATCAAGATTTGTGAAAAACATATTATAATACTGTAGATTGGGTTAATTTGGCGCCCGCTTTAATTTGGCGAATTTGGCGAAATTGAAAAATTCGCCAATATAAATCTTCGCCAAAATTTAAAATAAATCCCCGGGAATTATCTAGAGTACTGTACGCCCGGTATTATTCGCGTGCGATTAACTTTCGCGCTTTTCGCGATGGTGTTAAAATCGCGAAAAATTATCGTCGCGAAATTGCCAATTAAATCCCCGGGAATTTGTTATTACCCGGGGCTCTGATGCATTTTCGTTTTGTGTAGTGTTATTGGGCGATAATTGGATATCCACGATCTTCAGGACTTCAGTAATGTCCATTTTACGTTGGCTGATTCGGCCCAGTACCACCAGTAGGCCCAATAATGATATCGATCACATCATTGCAAATGAAGTGCAATTGCAAAAGATAACATGAAGTCCAATTCCAAACGCGGGACATCAGGTAAGTGCAATTACTGTACATCTACTAGTAATTTAGCTTGAGAATTCCAAGAATAATGAATTTCAAACTTGTGAAATTCGCGAAATTTAATAGCCGCGAAACCGTGTTTTCGCAAAATTCGCGAAATTAAAGCTCGCGAATAATACCGGGCGTACAGTATTTCCTCCAGTGTATTTAGGTCACTTCCGGTTTAGTTTCTTTCAAAAATATGAAAAATGTCTCTCATAAATTGGCTCAGAACTGGTCAGTCACTCATTAATATTCAGGGAAAAACTAGAAAGGAAAAGCGTGGTATAGTAGCAGCATCGATCGAGGTGCAAAATGTAAAGGATGATCGCCAGTGGTCCTCAAAAGAAAAATGGACATAGCCAAACTTATCCATTTACATGGTAATTCGCAAACAGTGCGTAAGTTAATTTTCTTGCATATCCGCTAAATTAAATAGCCGCCAATATGCCAAAAATGGCAAAATCGCCAAATTAAGTAGCGCCAAATTAACCCAATCTACAGTATACACAAACATTAATGAAGACATTTTCCAGAGTATAAATTCCCATCCACATAATGAATAATATAAGAAAACTGATTATCTTATATGTTTGTGATATCAGGATCCCCCTTGCCTAATATGATACACCAGCTCTCAAGACTTCCAGCACTCAGCTATATTTGGTGTGCGTAACCATGATCAATAGTTGAGTAAATAAAATGATATCACAAAAAATCATACTAGGCTTCTGTTCTATGAATTCCATTATAATGTACAGCATTTCTTTATAATTATTTCATGCGTCATTTCATTGCATGCGAGTTCTTAGAATAAAAATGTCACATTATTTTCAAATCCATGTGAGCTGGAAAAGGTGATATCTGTAATATATTTCTCATACTACAAAAGCGTCATTTTAATTTTCATTCTTTGCAATATCACTAATCTGCTAACATGGCTAATACGTAATAGAACTGAATGTTTACAAATCTGGCCTCAACTTTGGGATAATACAGCAACACAATATGTGAGGCAAATTTAAATAGGCGAGGCGAGTCTGCCTCATGTCTGGCTTATACCTTTGAGTCATGTTCATATTGATTGCTGGAAGCCCAGACTGATGGAAGGGTTGGTAACTCTAGCCTGGAATGTTCACTTTAACAAGTTTTAGTCTTATAAGTTTAAATGTACATGTACTTAAGTTCATTTTTGCATATTTTTACAGTTTATATAAATCCCTAAACTGAGGGAATTTTCTCAATTTATGAGTACCTTTGGGACGTGCCATACGTGGCATATAAGTGTAATTCGGGTATTTCCGCATATGTTCTTTACCAAGCTCAGCTGCTTTATCATAATAGGAGCTCTTCAATTCATCACTCATATCTTTCCAGCGTTTTGAGAGGATGGCGCTAACCTCTCTGGTGTGAAGACTGGTCCCCTTGAACTCACTGTTACGTAGTTCTTTATTAAACACCATGAATGCATTCAGAGGCCTCTTAATATGCTCACCTTTTTCATTTTTATTTCCACCTCTGTGTCTAACAAGATTGTGGTTGACATCACCACTATGTGAAGATGATGTATGTGCATTTGAATTGGTATCGATTATAGAGGACTGGGTATCTGGAGTGATTTGGATAGGAATGTAATGTAAAGGAGTTTGACTGGCTCTAACATATCTATCTCCAATTATTATAGTTTGAGGAGTGCTAGATTTAGAATGTGTTTCATGTTTTTTCTGGATTGAGATTTCATAAGCTGAAGTATTTGATTCTTCGTCTTTAGTTATGTCAATAATATCATCAGAATCGTCAGAATCAATGATTTCTTCAATATAGATGTCACTGTCATCACTTTCATCATTGCTGCATTGTCTTGAAGATTCAGAGTCCATTTTGTCAAAATCTTCCTGATTTATGGTTTCTACCGAGAAGACTTGTAGGTTTGCATCAAGGGGAGCATCAGCAACCGTTGTTGATGTTTTAGTATGGTTTCGTAAGTTGCCATCAGACAGCGGATATGTCTGATACTTTGACACATAAGGACTGAAATTTTTTTGTCTGGAAGAACTTTGGAGTATGTCATCTGGGCCTAGGTTATAAACTCTCGGTTTCTTGATACGAGGTTGATACTTATAACCTGGATGCGCTAAGGAATGTTGCCTCATTAAACTTGATGATCTAAGATAATAAACATCTTTCTCTTCATTAGACATTTTTCGCCAACCTTCCCCAAGCAGTTGGCTGATCTGTGTATTATTAAGATTAGGATTTTTCTCTTTAAACACAGTACGGAATTCTTTTGACCACAACATAAATGCATTCAGTGGTCTTTTAATATGGTTATCTTCACGTCTATCTGGTTGATTTGTGATCTTTCCTTGTCGCAACTTGGGGTCTTTGACTTTTGTTAGCTCCTGAGTATAGCATTCAACAGTATTCGGTTGTATTTGATTTTCAGTTACTTGTCCAGACTTCCCTATTTGTGTAAATTTGAGCAATGATAAATTAGGATCACTCTTATTATCAATTGAAGATGTGCAGGGCATTTTTAGAATACATAGCATTTGAGAATGAGTATTTTTCCATTCTTGAGCTAAAATACCTGCAACTCTACTTAAATCAGATTGACTTGCATTTTGATCACTCAATTGTTTCACCAGTGAATGCTTTTTATCGCTTATCCATAGTCCACATTCGCTATTTGGTACAGTTTCACCTAGTACAGCTCGAACTTCATCAATAATTTTTTGCAGTGTCTGCTCATATAGGGAAGATTCAGTTGGAACGACACTGCGAGGATCAGGAAGATTGTGCGGTTTTAGCCTTGTAAATTCACTCGATGCGTTGGCACCAGAGTCTATGGTAATAGTACTTCTTGATTCATTGCTAAATTTCATACTATCTATGTGAATACGGCAAGAAACACAGACGACTAATTCATCATCATCACCTGTCATTTGTATATCTCTGCCAGTGATTTTTTGCATTCTCTGAACATCTTTGGCAGAAACTATGTTCAAGTCTTCCTCTTCACTTAATACTCGACACAGTAAACACTCCTTTAACGTCATATTGTAAAATGTTAGTAGATCTAATGTTTCGGTGTCTTAGTATAGCTCCATAGCGCACCGTACATGAAGAAAACACAATTTATTATCAATTTTAAAAACTTTCAAAAAACTTTCAGAATCCATTTTGAAATGTCCCGGATGTTGTGACCTGTCAATCTGAACTTACTTTTTTCATTTGCTATCTCTAATTAGTATATTTTGTCTACTTCTCAGCTACTTCTTAATAATAATAAATAATTTGAACACTATATAGGCTACTTACTAGTTGATGATCATTCTATTTGTCGCGCTGAAAAATCTTTGTCAAAAATCAAGATGACCTCCTAACGAGTGTACAATTTTCATTTCTGGGAATTCCAACTTGGGAAATGTTTCATTTTGGTTTCTAAATGACATAATATAACCACCTGAGCCGTGGAAATGAGGCAATAAATCCATCATAGAGATTCAGTAAGTATTTCTTCCATTTATAGAGCAACAGTTTGCATAATTTGTAGCATTTTAAAAGTTGAACTTGAACTCAAGACTTTTGAAATTCAAAATCACTTTTGAAATTCAGGCTAAGAAATGGTGGACATTTTGATCACCAGGATGATTCATAAGCAAAAGATGGGAATTACATTACTGTTGGAAACCTAGCAGATGTACACACACATAATCAAAGGTCAATTGTAAAGCTCTTCTAACTTTTGGCTGAACCGATAACATCAAAGACGTTTGCGATAGTAAAGATTGATATTTTTGAAATTCAATGATCAGATTTGAAATAAACAGACATTTTTAGATAACATTGGATATGTGATTCTTGGCAGGATGCCATGATGTACATGTAATTATATCCGCTTTGATATAATAACACAGCAATCATCTTGGTCATGTAAGTACATGTATGTACCAGTATATAAACTTAAAATATATAAATATTTATAACCCTAGACGCTGAGCGAGTTTACTCGCTTTGACGTCACATTCCTGATAGACGATGGGCGAGTTTACTTGCTTGATAATGTTGAAAGTGTTTGCAAAAAGTCAGAAGTCTTTACCTAAAATAATTTGCCGCTATTCTTCTCAAAATGTGATGTTTTTGATAGTTGATGGTGTTGTTAACATTCATACATCATATTTTTACAAAATGAGTTGAATAGACACAATTATTAATCTCGATAAAAGGCTGGCGCTGGCTAAAATTGTCTATGGTTCTAGCCAGGATAAAGATACCAGTTCTTCAACTCTACAATGGGAACTGCTCTACCTTAGTGACTAATATGTCATGATATGACATCTAAAGAGTCAATAAAAGATATATATTAATGAAACAAAAATATTTTTAAACTTTTTATTTCGAAAATATTGACCGGAAGATGGAAACCGGAAGTGACCTGAAGTGAACATTTGGATATAAACAATTGGATTAAATTGAAGAATACTTAGTTATAGTTATAGTTATAGTTTTCACTGCTTAGGTCGTCTTGACCTTTGGCCGTTCTTTAGATAAAATGAGCATAATTGTTTAGCATTGACCCCAATTAATTGACTTGTGTCTACTTCAAGGCTCTATAGTTGTATTTGGCTGGGTGGTCTCTCCATAGTCTGTCAAGCTTACTCTTAAAGTGATTCAGGTCATCAGCTTCCACTACTTCTTGGGGGAGGGAATTCCAAGAGTTTACTACCCTTTGGGTAAAGAATCCTTGTCTTAAAATCAATCTGTTTTGTTTTTTCAAGATTCTCTTATTGTTGCCTCTGGTCCTTCCTATGCTATGTGATAGAGGTAGAATATTGCTAATTGGAATGTCATATTTTTCATTGAGGATTTTCCAAGTTTCAAGCATATCCCCTCTTAAGCGCCTGAACACAAGTGATGGTAACTTTAGGTCCATAAGTCTTTGGGAGTACTCTTTATCTTGGAATCCTGGTATGCATCTTGTAGCTCTCCTCTGGACTGCTTCAATAGCTTCAATATCCTGTATTAAGTATGGTGACCATACAGTGTTTGCATATTCCAAGTGTGGCCTGACCATAGCCTTATATAACATCATCATATTTGAAGGATCCAAAAACTGGAAAGTTCTTCGGATAAGACCAAGAATTTGGTTGGCCTTTTTTACCACCATCAGTATGTGTGTTTTGTTCTTTAAGTCATTCGCCACCATCATTCCCAAGTCTTTTTCACATTCTGATTCCTGGAGAACTGTATTACCCATAGTGTAACTGTAGTCTGGAGAAGATTTACCAATTCTTAAGACCTTGCATTTTTCACTGTTAAATTGAAGTTGCCAATCATTTGTCCAATTCATTAGGGATTGGATGTCTTCCTGTAGCTCGTCACAGTCATCCGTGGTGTTCACTTCCCGGTACAGTTTTGTATCGTCTGCAAACATTATCAGAGGGCTGTTAACAGTCTGGGGTATGTCATTTACAAATACGAGAAACATTACCGGTTCCCTGCGGGATTCCAGAAGTGACATCTTTCCATGACGATGCTTCTCCATTGATTATTACTCGTTGTTTCCTTAATTGTGAATTTCCACTCTCAGCATTGTCTGTTGAGGCTCGATTCGCGGGGTCGAATTGGTCATTTCCTGTATTTGCTCCGAGGAAGGATTTCAACCACTGGAGGGCATTACCCATAATTCCAAGATTTTCAATTTTCTTTATAAGACGCTCGTGGGGGACTTTGTCAAATGCTTTCTTAAAGTCTAGGTAAATTGCGTCTATATTGCTACCACTATCGAGAACTTCAGTCCATTTTTCAAGAGTCGTCAAGAGATTGGTTACACATGATCGACACGGTAGGAAGCCATGCTGGCATTGCGTCAAAAGGTTGTTTTCTGATAAGTGTGACAGGATCCTTTCTCTAATAATGGATTCGAGTATCTTACATACTATGGACGTTAAACTTACTGGCCTGTAGTTGGTAGATAGGTTTTTCTTCCCTTTTTTAAATATCGGTGAAATATTAGCTTGTTTCCAATCTTGAGGCAGCGTTCCAGAGTTTGTTGACATCTTGAATAGGAGGTATAGAGGTCTGCATATGGTACACCTGAGTTCCTTTAATATGCGGGGTTTTATCTTGTCTGGCCCGGGTGACTTGTTTGTTCTTAGAAGCTCCAGCTTTTTCATTACTTCATCTTCTGTGAAAGTCCAGGCCTCGATGTAACTTGTTATTCTGATATAGTGACCTGTTGGTATGTTATCCTTGTTCTCCTTGGTAAAGACACTAGAGAAGAATCTATTCAGCTCTTCTGCTTTATCTAAGTCACTAGTTGTTGTTGTGCCATCCTCTCTGTTGAGCTGGGGTATTCCACTCCTTGTTTTCATTTTGCTGTTGCTGTACCCCCAAAATTTCCTTGGTTGGGATTTTGCTGATTTTGCAATATTCCTTTCAAATTCCTTGATAGCTCTAGTTACCTCATTTTTAGCCTGGTTTCTCTCCTTAACGTATTGCTGGTATTCCTCTCCCTTCTTCGTTCTTTGGTACCTCTTCCATGCACCATGTTTTCGTTTGATTTGTGCTAAACATCTCTTATCCATCCATGCTTTTGCTGTTTTTCTAGCCTTGACTTGTGGGACATTTTTACTATAACTTTCGTCCATTCTTCTTTTGAACATGTCCCAGCATTCATCAATATCCTTGTCTTTAAATTCCCTGTCCCAGTCGATGCTCAGTTCTTCCTTCATCTTTTCATAATTGGCCTGGTTCAGTAGGGGGATTAATCGTTCTTGTACTGTAAACTCAGCCTGGTAATGAAGGACAAAACTTATTACTTGATGATCACTTTTCCCTATTCCTGCCTGTATCTCCAGATCTGAAACCATGTCCATTTCATTTGACAGTACTAGATCAAGGATATTATCACCCCGCGTTGGCTCACTTACATACTGGTAGAGGAAGGTATCATCTACAAGTTCAGTGAATACATCAGCAATTCTTCTGTCAGGGCATCCTGGAGTTGTACAATTTAGTTCCCAGTTTATTCCTGGAAGATTGAAGTCCCCCATAATAAGTAAATGCGTTGGTTTTTTGTCACAATTGTTTTTTATCTGGTCAAATAGGGCTTCTGAGTTTGTTTCCTCGCTTGTTGGGCTTCTATATATACAGCCAATTATTGCATTGTCCTTTCCACAACTCATATTCAGCCATACTGATTCCTTGACGTTATGGTCTGTTTCAAGTTGATGACATTTTAAGTTCTCCTTAACATAAACTATCACACCTCTAGTATTTTCTTGCAGGTTGTTAGTGAAGGGGGTATACCCTTGGAGAGAAATTTGTGCTTCAGATAATTCATAGTCTTTTCTTTTAACATTAACTTCAACAACTCCGATTACATCTGGCTTCATATTATGGACTAACAATTCGAGTTCATCTTTTTTATTCGGAAGACTGTCAATGTTTGTATATATCACTTTCAGTTTATTTACACTATTTACAATATTTACATTACTGTTTTGTCTAGGGGTTACTCGTCCTCGTCCCCCGAATCACCCTCCTGCGTTACAATCAAAAGAGGCGGCTGTTTTGGCAGTTTGTTGATTTCTGGTGCTGGGGTAGGCTGTTCATTAATTGTCGTTTCCTGTCCTCCGCTCTTCTTAGCTTCATTAGATGAAGTATTTCCACGGGGCCTGGCTTGTGCAGTTGTGTTCCTGGGGATTATAACTCCCTTCTTTATGATATAGTCTTTTCCATTATTAGGTAGACTTCTCAGTTCCTCAAGCAGTCGACATGAATATCTCTTTCAAGGGGTGTCATATCAGGCTTAATGTATATGTCTCTGTAGTTGTCCCCTTTATTCCTCAACGATTTGGCATTACGTAGGATTTCATACTTATCCCTTGTTTCTTTAGTGACTACTAGCAGTGGTCGAGTTTTGTTCGGGGCTGGTTTTCCTAGACGGAATGATTTCTCAAGCTCGACTTCTAATTCAAGTCCATCCGTGATAAGGTCATCTGCTTTCTTTGTATCATCCAACAATCTTTGACGTGGTGTGCTGGCTTTACTTTCTGGAATATTAAATATGACTAGATTGTTTTTGCGTTTTTCCCTTTCAGCATATTCACGCAGTGATGCTGTTACATTTGTATTGGCTGGCTGAGGGGGCACATGTTCTGATTCAGTATTACTTTGAGTGG